GGGAGAGAACAGCATGGAGGAGGTAGGGCAGCCACAGGCCCGTCACTCCCAGAGCCTGGACATTCCCTCAAAGCCTGCTCTACCCTGTGACATCGTCCCGGGGACAGCAGCCACCCCAGGCAGGCAGTGCTCACAGGGGAACTGCCTGATCCCACTGGCAGGAAGCAAGGTGCACAACAGAACCAGGGTCCAGGAGAGACGGATGCTGCAAGCGGACAAAGCCCGACACCCTCTGGAGCAAAAGAAGGAACAAAGCACTGCGATCCACATGACGCCAGCGGGGGCCGGCACGGTGGCGCAGCGGGTTAAGGCCCCGGCCTGCAGTGCCGGCGTCCCACATGGGCTCCGGTTCAAGTCCTGGCTGCCCCACTCCTGATCCAGCTCCCTGCTAACGCACCTGGGAAAGCAGCAGAGGATGGCCCAAGTCCTTGGGCCCCTGCACCCACGTGGGAGAAGCAGCTCCTGGCTCCTGGCTTCAGATCAGCCCAGCTCTGGCTGTTGTGGCCATCTGGGTGAACCAACAGATGGAAGAAGACCTCTCTCTGTCTATACCTCTCTCTATAACTCTGTCTTTAGAATAAATAAATCTTAAAAAATAAATTGAAGCTGGTGGCAGCCTTGGCGTTTACGGCAGATGCACAGCCCACCGCAGCACCAAGGCCAGGGGTCTCACATGACCAGAAGCCCTTCCCCCACTCCATACACCCCACATCACATTATTGTGCCTAAGTCTATGTTCTGAGAATATAAAATATACAAAATGCAGCCATCTTCAGGCATCCTGCGGCCAGGGGGATCATGGGAAAGAAAAGGGATCCAAGGGGTGAGCGGTGTCTCAGGCTCCTCCCACCCAGCCTGGCTGCGCTCTGGGGGCCTGGCAGGCCCTGAGCTCCCTTCTCCAGCACAGGCTGGGCTCCGGAAAGCTCCCTCCTTTCTGCTCCTTCCCCAACCGCCTCCCTCGGGCACCCGGACCTGCCGTGTCACCATCTGCCTTCAACGCACAGGTTACATGTGCAACCAACAGGTGCAGCAGGAACTACTCTCTCACCTGTTCCTTTTCCTTTGTAATCTACTTCAGGCAGGCAGACAGGGGAACTCCCATCTGCTGGGTCACCACCCCCAACCCACGCCCCTGGGGATGTTGACAGCAGCCAGGGCTGGGCCAGGCAGCGGCCAGGAGCTCAGAATTCAACCCAGGCCTCCCACCTGGGCGTCAAGGACCCAAGCACGTGAGCCACCGCCTGCTTCCTCCCGGGGCACGTGAGCAGGAAGCCAGATCTGGAACAGAGCAGGACCCGGGCCCAGGCTCTCTGATGTGGGATGAGTCCTAAACAGCTTCTTAGCTGCCTCCAAAACAGATTTTTAATCTTTGAGACATCAGATACTTCCAGTTTGTTCTTACTTAGATTACACGGTTTATGACAAGAATGACCTGCAAAAAACAAAACAAAATAGGGCTGCTATATTTTGAAGTGGAAAGACAAGTCAAACCCACGCCCTATCCAACCCACACAGAGGGGCTCTCACCCCCAGGTCTCCCCCAGGGCCCTCTCACATGGTCTAAACTCGGGTACACTCTGCAAGCCACCACAGAGGGAGCTCCCCACCTCCCTGACCTCTGCACCAAACACCCTGACTAGCCAGGCCCCGCCACCACTGGCCCTGCAGCCCCTGACCGGCACCCCAAGGCCCCTCCACCCCTGGCCCCACCGCCCCTGACCGGCACCCCAAGGCCCCTCCAGCACCAGCCCGCTTTCCTGACCCACACTCCCCAGGTCACGTGACTGTGGCTAGGCACCCCGGGCACAACAGAGACAGGAATGTGGTGGGAGGCTGTGACTCCCTCTCCCGCATGATACACAGCTCTGTCTCCCCTCCCAGGCAGGACCGTGGGCATCTGCGCGGCCCACAGGGCGAGTACTGCAGAAGCCCAGTGTGTATCCTACAAGGAGGCCTTTCAGCGCTGCCAGAGGTGAGGTCAGCACCACCCCTAGGCCACGGAACACGCTGACTCGTCTGGCCAGCTGATTGGCTCGGAGACGCCCCCAGCAGGAACCTCACTCCCCACGCGGAGGTCCTGCCACGGCTTTGTAAACAGGCACGCTCGGAGGTCAGCAGCAGCCTCCAGGGGTCGGGGTAGCGCCAGGTACACATAGCCCCAGCCTCATCCCCTCCCCACCGCTCCCCACTGCCCCCAGCCTTTCTTTTCTGGTTCTGAGATGACAGCTCCTGCTCCAGAATAAACAGGCCTTAGCATTGGAGCCCGGACTCCCCCACCCCAGCGCTGGAGCCCGGACTCACTCCCGCAGCGCTGGAGCCCGGACTCCCCCACCCTCCACGCGCGCTGCTCTCCATCCTTGGTCCCCGCTCCCTCCTCATCCTGAGCTAACTGTTAGAAGCTGAGAACTCGTTCAGCCCGGATGCAATCCCAGCACCGCCGAGTGGCTGGAGCCCTTGGGACCAGGTGTTTACATCGCTGCCCAGTTTCCTGGTCTGGATCAGGGGCAGGGACAATCCAGTACCTACCGAGGGGTGCACAGTGCATGCTACCCAGGCAGATACAGAAGAAAACCTGCTGAGAATAAAACCTGGGACTTGGGACCACTCACAGACATTAGTTATTAAAACACTATTATTATTATTATTATTATTCATACAGTGTCACTTCTCCCAGGCAACATCTGTTCCTTCAACGTCCCATCAGCAGTCAGCACAGACCCGGGGCAGACATTTGCCTGAACAGCTAAGATACTGGTCAAGACACCGCATCACACAGCTGAGGGCCTGGGGTTCAAGTCCCAACTCTGGCTCCTGACTCCGCTCATGCACACCCGGGGAGGCAGCAGGTGTAGCTCCTGTACGTGGGTTCCCACCACCCCCTCGGAGATCCAGATGGGGTTCCTGGTTCCCAGCCCAGGTCCTGGCCCATCTGTGGAGCGAACCATCACATAGCAGCTTCTCTTGCTCCTTCTCACAGATAAATTCGGGGTGGGGGGGAGACAGAAGTATAGCTACCAGCTGGAGCTGTTCGGGATTATTCCACTGGACGAGTTACTTGAATGGTAATTAGGTGTTAAAATCATTATGCAAAACTGTGATGAAAGCAGATCCAAAAATACACAGCTGTGGCTCCCAAGTCATCTCTGCTCCAACGTGGGGACACCACTTACGGTCACAGACCTTGTTTCTCGGATGCCAGGCATAATTCTAGCAAGGAAAAAAACTCCTTAGAAGCTGGGGCCACACACAGAGAGCTGCCTCACTCGGCACTCCCAGGGGATTACAGCGGGCGCCAGCCAGCGCTTATGGAATATAGGAGAACACTACACGACTGGAAAACCAAAGGCAGCGGACAGAACGCGAGGGGAAGCACCCTTTGCAGGATTCCGTTCACCGATTTTTTGCCACAAACAAGACTTAGTGACCAGATTGGAGTAAGGGTGCCCAGCTCCCAGGGCAGGAGGCGGCCTGGGGTCTCAGCCCCCTGTCTCCCCGGAGGCTGCACCCTCTCTTCTAACAAGAAGCTGTGTGTAGGAGGCAGGCCCAGTGCAGTGGCTATTCAGGGCCAGCTGTAAAGCAATCTGGGTGGAAACAAAGTTGCCATTTTGACTGGTTTCCACCCTATTCAGACACCAAGCACAATGATAAATGTGTTACCCAAGAGAGCTTCAAGGATAGGATACAGGTGGAGGGAACACTCCTTTCCCAGTCACTCATGGTAGGGGGCCATCTTCACTGTGGGGGCCTCCTGTGGGCTTGCCCCAGCCCCTGCTCCTGCACGGGAGGTGCAGTGCTGAGTGCTGAGTCTATGTGGGTGCCACGGCCTCCTGTGGGCCTGCCCCAGCCCCTGCTCCTGCGCGGGAGGTGCAGTGCTGAGTGCTGAGTGCTGAGTACTGAGTGCTGAGTCTGTGTGGGTGCCACGGCCTCCTGTGGGCCTGCCCCAGCCCCTGCTCCTGCATGGGAGGTGCAGTGCTGAGTGCTGAGCGCTGAGTCTGTGTGGGTACCATGGCCTCCTGTGGGCCTGCCCTGGGCCCTGCTCCCCTGTGGGAGGTACTGTGCTGAGTCTATGTGGGTGCCACGGCCTCCTGTGGGCCTTCCCGGGGCCCCTGCTCCCGCGTGGGAGGTGCAGTGCTGAGTGCTGAGTGCTGAGTACTGAGTGCTGAGTCTGTGTGGGTGCCACGGCCTCCTGTGGGCCTGCCCGGGGCCCCTGCTCCCGCGTGGGAGGTGCAGTACTGAGTGCTGAGTCTGTGTGGGTCCAGGTCCTTGAATGCCGACATTCCTCTGCCCCCTTCCTGGGATGAAGCTGCCCCCCCGACCTTGTGTGCCACCCTCCCTGGCAAAGGCAGGTGGCCCTGCCTCGGCACTGGTGGCCAAGTCGGCTCACTGAGTGAGGGGCAGCAGAAGGAAGCCACCTCCCTGCAGGCAGGAGCCCCGTCTCACCTCAGCCCAACGAGGAGTAAAGGTGAGGTGCTGGCATCCGCCTGCTGACACCCTGGTCTTTCCTGTCAATGGGGTCAGAGCCTAGGAGGCGCCCTCAGAAGCCCACCAGAGGCCCCCGTGTGAGGCCGATCCAAAGCCCCACAGCGGGGAAGAAGGGCACGTCAGCTCTGCAGCCATCAGCGCCAGGCGCCAGGCCAAACGCCACATCCACTGCCAAGAAATCCGGCTCTCAGCCTGGAGATGCCACCCTGCGGGGTCTGTCCAGGAGGCAAACACGAGCCAGGGTCCCTCCCCATTCCCGGGGGAACCTCAGGGCCAGAGCAGGCGGGCATCCCAGGGCCAAGGACAGGCGTCCAGGAAAGGAGGCTGTGCGTTCATCAGGACAGCCACAAAGGTGGCGGGGACGAGTCCCACCCTCTGAAGGAGGCCGTCCCCACCCCGACCCCCAGGGGCACCCCACCAGCGCGAAAGGCCAAGGCCAGCTTGGCAAGAGACTGAGCCCCACCCCACCCGGCCCTCCCAAGCCCATGCCGCAGCGGGAGAGTGGAGGGACGACTCACGTGGCGCCTCATCTCGTTGGCCACAGTGTGGGACATCATGACGCAGCAGAGCACGGCCACCAGGATGAAGTAGAGCGCGTACATGAAGCGTGTGCTCCGGGACTGGCGGATCTTGGGGCAGCAGCCGCAGCACAGGGAGCAGCCGGCGGAGCCGCAGCAGCAGGCCAGCTGGAAGGGAACACGGGGGCTCTCAGCACACGTGGGCAATGGCCCCCGCAGAGGTGGTGAGCTTCGGCCCCGCTCCCCACACAGGAGCCCCAGGGATGTCCTGGGTAAGAGGAGCCTGGGGCACAGTTTCAGCACACCCCCACCCAGCTCTGGGGAACACAGGGAGTCAGGGCCCACCTCCAGCGCCCAGCTCTGGGGAACAGTGAGTCAGGGCCCACCTCCAACACCCAGCTCTGGGGAGCACAGGGAGCCGGGCCCACCTCCAGTGCCCAGCTCTGGGGAGCACAGGGAGCCAGGACCCACCTCCAGTGCCCAGCTCTGGGGAGCACGGGGAGTCAGGGCCCACCTCCAGTGCCCAGCTCTGGGGAGCACAGGGAGCCGGGGCCCACCTCCAGTGCCCAGCTCTGGGGAGCATGGGGAGCCAGGACCCACCTCCAGTGCCCAGCTCTGGGGAACACAGGGAGCCAGGGCCCACCTCCAGTGCCCAGCTCTGGGGAGCACAGGGAGCCGGGGCCCACCTCCAGTGCCCAGCTCTGGGGAGCACAGGGAGCCGGGGCCCACCTCCAGTGCCCAGTTCTGGGGAGCACAGGGAGCCAGGGCCCACCTCCAGTGCCCAGCTCTGGGGAACACAGGGAGCCAGGGCCCACCTCCAGTGCCCAGCTCTGGGGAGCACAGGGAGTCAGGGCCCACCTCCAGTGCCCAGCTCTGGGGAGCACAGGGAGTCAGGGCCCACCTCCAGTGCCCAGCTCTGGGGAGCACAGGGAGCCAGGGCCCACCTCCAGTGCCCAGCTCTGGGGAACACAGGGAGCCAGGACCCACCTCCAGTGCCCAGCTCTGGGGAACACAGGGAGCCAGGGCCCACCTCCAGTGCCCAGCTCTGGGGAGCACAGGGAGCCAGGGCCCACCTCCAGTGCCCAGCTCTGGGGAGGGAACACAGGGAGCCAGGGCCCACCTCCAGTGCCCAGCTCTGGGGAGCACAGGGAGCCGGGGCCCACCTCCAGTGCCCAGCTCTGGGGAGCACGGGGAGCCGGGGCCCACCTCCAGTGCCCAGCTCTGGGGAGCACGGGGAGCCGGGGCCCACCTCCAGTGCCCAGCTCTGGGGAGCACGGGGAGCCAGGGCCCACCTCCAGTGCCCGTGATGGAATCAGCTGTGCCCACACAGTGGCCTTCCTGAGGTCTGCGGGCCATCCTAACCAGGCTTAGCCAATCTCTGAATTTACAAAGGGGGCGGGGAAGCCCTGACTGACAGTCAAGCAGTCAGAAGTACAAGCATTTCAAGTGTTCACGGAGACGAGAACTACAGGATAAATTCAGCTGTAGGTGTGTGGCCTAGCAGTGCAGACCCCCACGTGCCATATGGCGGTGCCTGAACTCGACACCCAGCTCTGGCTCCTGACTCCAACACCCAGCTCTGGCTCCTGACTCCACTTTCCAGCTAACGCAGACCCTGGGCAGTGGCAGTGCTGGCCCAAGGAGTTGGGTCCCTGCCACCCATGCAGGAGTCCTGGGTTGACTCCTGGCTCCCAGCTTCAGTGCCTGGCCCCTCAGGCATTCATGAGGGTGTCCCAGCAAGTGGGAGATTTTCCTGTCTCCTGCTCTCTCAAAAACCAGTAAGAATAATAAATTTTGGTGTAAAAGATTCAAAATCCAAAGATTTTTTTTCATGCCATGCACTTCCATGAATATTCCGAAGACTCACCGGAAGTGAGGCATCTTGGGGGGCCCAGGCTCGACCAGTGGGGTCTACACCAAGTCCAGGCAGTCAGTGTGGGAACTGAAGTGAATTGCAGACACCGAGCCCAGTGTCGTACATGGAGCTGGTGTTTCACAAACCCTGGCCCAGACTTCCACAGGGCGACCCGAGTGACCCGAGGCTCATTCTGGCTGGCGCCCTGACCACAGGACATGCAGGAAGAGTCCATGCCACCCACCCGGTGGCCAGCAGGACTGGCCTGGCAGAGTGGCTTCACCCACAAGCATCAGGGGTGTGGGAGAGGCCTGAAACAGAGAAAGTTCAGCTCATCTGAAGCTCTGTCATCAGCCCTCTTCGACGAAACAAAGATTACGGCAATCAGCGAAGAGCAAAACCAAAAATGGAGCCAAAGAACTAGGAAAAGGACAGATGAAGAAAAGGTCATTAAAAAAAAGCAGCCGAGGGGCTGGCACTGTGGTATAGTGGGTGAAGCCACCATCTACAGCGTGGGCACCCCATATGGGCATCAGTTCGAGTCCCAGCTGCTCCTCTTCCAATACAGCTTCCTGCTAATGCACCTGGGAAAGCAACGGAAGATGGTCCAGGTCCTTGGGGCCCTGCACTCACGTGGGAGAACCCCAAGAAGCTCCTGGCTTTGGCCTGGCCCAGTCCTGGTGATCAGGGCCTTTTGGGGAATGAACCAGGAGATGGAAGATATTCATTCATTCATTCTCTCTCTCTCTCTCCTCCCTCCCTCATTCATTTTTTCTCTCTCTCTCTCTCTCCTCCCTCCCTCCCTCCCCAATTCCTTCAAATAAACAAAGAATGAACAAACGAACAAACAAGCAGTTGTGCCCAAGAAACCGACGTATCTAACTGATGAACAAATAGGAGACGCAGAACGGCAGGAGCACCAGGGACCTGCTGGGGTGGACAGGCTATGCCTGGGGGCCAGCCCTGTGCTGCAGTTGGTTAAGCCGCCGCTTGTGCCAGCACCCCCTACAGGAGTGCAGGACACAGGAGCGCTGGTTCAGTCCCCAGTGCTCCCCTTCCAATCCAGCTCCCTGCTAACGCACCTGGGAGGCCAGCAGAAGATGGCCCAAATATTTCGCGCCCTGCCACCCACATGGGAGATATGGATGGAGTTCCTGGATCCTGGGTTTGGCCTGGTCCAGCCCTGCCTGTTAAGGGAACCGGAAGACAGAAGATCATTCTCTCTCTGCTACTCTTTCCAACAAACAAGACTTTTTGTAAAAGATCGCCAAGCCTGCAGGAAACAACTGGAGTAAGTAGAGTGTGGAGCTCCGAGGAAGAGGAGAGTCTTTCCCAGAGCTGTACACCCCACACCCCTAAGGGGGAGCCTGGACCCAGAGGAGCACAGGGCTCCTGCTGCACCACTAACGCAGACACACCCCCGACCTGGGGAAACCAGACCACAGCAGTCGGGCACAGCGGCTAAGACCTCAGGCTCGGAGTCAGCCTCCTGGTGCGCGCTGTGGCTCTGCCACCTAACAGCCCTGGACCATGAGTGAGTTAAGACTTAGTCAGCTCATCTGTAAAATGGGCCATGGGAGCCGTGCTTATGGTCCGTCTGTGGTCTCTGGGATGACCTAATCAAACACCTGGTGGCAGAGGACATCGCTCTTAAGCAAAGAATTCTACAAGGCAGAGCGCCATAAACTTGCAAATTACAACCCAAGCTGTGTCTCGGCAGTTTGCTCTATATGAAACCTAAAACTTAGTGATTCCACCTCTCGATAATGATTTGGAAGGAAGCTCAGGACTTAACACGCACGAATTAGGAGGCCCCGGAGGGGACCCTGACACCGCTGCACGGGTGCTGCCCCTCAGGCAGGCTCAGAACTCATTCCTGTCCTCAGCTTTTCTGGCCTCCTCCCACTCACGCTCTCTCCCCTCCCCCGCCGCACCGGCTGGGCCAAGCAGGCCTCCCTCTGGGCCCCGCCCCCTGGCCGCTGCTGACGCCTGTGCTCTGAGAACAGCAGTCTGACTGTATCACAAATCCAAATGCAATAAACAAAAACGTACGCTACTTGGGCAAAGAAATATTTCAGAACGAATTCATGCTTCCCATGATAGCAGCTTCCCACGGCAGAAGCACCATTCAAGCTTTCCTTCCACCCACGGAAGGGAGCAATGAGGACAGACCCCGAGAGCGTAACTCCTTGTCTAGGGATAGACAAGCAGGGGGAGAAGGGACGCGCTTGCGGGACATCTGAAGAAAGCCGACAGCTCCCACCCTGTTCCTTCACTGGAATCAGGTATCCCTGCATGGGTCTGAAATCTCAAAGACCTCCTTAATCTGACTCTACACAAAGCTATAGGATTTGAATACAAATGCCTCCCGCCCAAGCCGTGCTGTGGTGTAGTGTGGCAAAGCCACTGCCTGCGACACCAGCATCCCAGATGGGCGCCAGTTCTAGTCCCTGCTGCTCCACTTCTGATCCAGCTCCCTGGTAATACACCTGGGAAAGCCGCCGAGGATGGCACAAGCGCTTGGGCCCCTGCACCCACATGGGAGACCCAGAAGAAGCTCCTGGCTCCTGGCTTCAGATCAGCCCAGCTCCAGCTATTGGAGCTGTTTGGGGAGTGAACCAGCAGACAGAAGACCTCTCTCTCTGTAACTCTTTCAAATAAATAAATCTTCACAGTACATATACAGTGGCCAGCGCTGTGACGCAGTAGGTTAATCCTCTGCCTGCAATGCTGGCATCCCATATGAGCGCCAGTTCTAGTCCCAGCTGCTCCACTTCCAATCCAGCTCTCTGCTGTGGCCTGGGAAAGCAGCAGAAGATGGCCCAAGTGCTTGGGCCCCTGCACCCATGTGGGAGACCCGGAGGAGGCACCTGGCTCCTGGCTTCGGATCGGCACAGCTCCAGTCACTGTGGCCATCTAGGGGGTGAACCAACAGAAAGAAGACCTTTCTCTCTGTCTCTCACTACTTCTCAAATAAATAAAATCTTAAAATAAAAATAAATACGTACATATACACACGTATATAAATGTCTGCTTCCGTTTGTGTGTGTGTGAAGACACAATCACCCTATTTAATCCAACAGTCCTTACCTACTCAGTCACTGAGCCTTTCTCAACTCAGCAGCCCAAAGCCAAGGGGACAGGCACACTCGGGTCAGCTGCGGCCCGGGACTCCAGGTGGAAATCCCAAAGAGCACCACAGAGAAGTGTTGATCTCACAGCCAGGAAGCTGCCACAGCACAGCGGCCAGCCCCGCCTCTGCCAGCGCTGTCCACAGCAGTCCCTGGCCAGGGTCACTCCTGGAGAGCAGGGCCACTGCCTGCGGGCCTAGCTCCAGAGGGCATAAACTTCTGAACAGGGCGTGGTAAAAACACTACCACCACCAGAGTGGCGCCCAGGGCAAACGGTGGGTCCTGGGTGATGACCCGTCCTTGTGGGTTCACCTACTAGCGGGATACAGCCCTAGGGCGGGGGCGGGGAGGGCGTGCGGACAATGAGGGGGTGGGGCGTTGACTGTGCAGACAGAAGGTGCACTGGGAAATCTCCACCCCTTCCTATTCAGTTTGCTGAGAACCTCAAACACTTCTAACAAATGAAAGCTAATTTTTTTGTTTTAGAAAACTACAAATGAACAAAACAGCGCCTGCCACCCCAGGCTCCCTAACCAGATGCAGAGTGAAGCTGCGGTGGGGACACCCCCGCCCACCCCCTGGGCCCGCCTGCACCCAGCATTCTCACGGCAGCACTCCATCCCAGGGAGTGCAATGGACCACTGCTTGTAAAGTTCTTTTAATTCATTTGAAAGCAGAGAGAGAGAGAGAGAGTGTGTGTGTGTGTGCATTTGTATGTGTGTATATGAGATTCAGAGACAGAGACAGAAAGAGAGGTCTTCCATCCACTGGTTCACTCCCCAAATGGCCTCAATAGGCTGGCCTGGGCCAGACCAAAGGCAGGAGCCAGAAACTACATCTAGGTCTCCTATATGGGTAGCAGTGGTCCAAGGACTTGGGCCATCTTCCTCGCTTTCCCGGACACAGCAGCAGGGAGCTGGATCAGAAGCAGAGCAGCTGGGACTGGAATCAGCGCTCTGTGGGGCGCCAGTGTCGTGGGCAACACCAGCCGCGGTGGACAGAGCACACTTTGCTCTCCCAGGAGAAAGCACAGTGCAGTCACAAGGGAGTCAGACGCGCACCTGCGGCCCTCCTCCCGCATGGTCTGGAGATGCAGGCACAGGGCTGCTACGAACACTGGGCACACAGAGCCTGGCTCCGCTGGCTAAGGGCCAGCTGCACACTGGAGCCCTGTTGGTCAACAGTCCAACGGTGCTGCGGGCTGAGCTTGGTACCAACTCAGCGCTCGGGATAGAACTCTGCATGGACACAGGGTGGTGAAGAGGCCCCAGTGGGTGCCTGCAGCGGGAGACACACGGAGGGCTGGCCGGCGAGGACCTGGCGAGAAGGCGGCACCCACGGCCCAGCGAGCCTGGGGGATCACCTGACGGCACCCAGCCCTCAGTGGCCAACCTCCAGAGTCCAGTGTCAGTCAGGCCGCCCCGGGCAGTGCGCCTCAAGTCTCACGCGTGTGGCGTGTGTACCAGGATGTACACGTGTGTGTGTGCATGTGAGCACGAGGTTGTGTGGGGCATCCTCTTCTCCCTGCTCCGCCCCTCCCCCCGCAGCCTTTACAATAAAGGAGCAGAAAGCTGACCCCTAGAAAACGCAGCCGACCTCAAGACCCGGATACGAAACATGCGCAAACAGGGTACTGACTCCAAAGTGAGGGCTTTTTCCCTTCTGAAGGTCCTTCCCCTCCCCCAAACATGCTGCAAAGAGAAGTCCCTCACCCCCCACGCAGAGCCCACTCCTGCTCTCCCCTGCCAGGAACGCCGGCACGGGCGGCCGCGGTTTCTGGACAGAGCCAGGACCACAGCCAAGGACAAGCCGCCGCTGCTGCTCCGGCCTGAGCCCGGCCCCCTGGGGGCTGCCTCTCCCTCACTCCCACCCTAGCACACACACACTGCAGGCCCTAGGACTCCGGCCGGGGCCTTGCCGAACTGAAACACCACAGCCACCAGCTGGAAACAGCAAAAACGGGGAGAGAAGTCAAAGATGGCTCAGAGCCGGCGCAGGCGGGCGCACACCCCACTCACAAAAGGCTCCCCGCCGACTCTTCTCCTCAACTCCAGCCGCCCCCCAGGCTCTCTCCTACGTCCCCAGCAGGCAGGAAGCAAGGGCTGGTGGGAAGAGCACGGGGCAGGAAGCAGAGGGCCTGGACTCCAGCCTGCAGGGGCTCTGCGAGGCGAGCTGCCCTCTTGCCTCCCTGGTCCTCGATGTCATCTGCAGGAGCCAGGAGGGCAGGGGCTGGGAGAGGCAGCTTTTGTCTCCCATCCGACACACTGCTGCTGGGACGCCACGTGGGGCTCGCAGGCAGGGCGGTGGCGGTGCCTGTACATCCTCCACCCCCGTCAGCTCCTGGATGCTGGAAGTGAACTGCACTTGGCAAGCACGCTCAGTGAAGCCCGAAGCCTGAGCAGAGGGAAGGCATCCAAGGGCGGCAAGGACTCCAAGTGGGACGGCCGCAGGCGCTCCCAGCACCCCCGGGTCACGCTCACGACCACGGTCCAGGCAGCACCGGAATCCACTCGCGCCACTCAGGGAGGCCAAGACGGCTTCAAGAAAGCTTCCAATCTGTC